CTCGTGTAGCTACAAAGTACGACATAATAAGAGATCAGAGACAGCAAAAGACAATAAGTAATATTTATTTTGAAATGATTTTCATCACAAAGAGCAAGAGCAATGTCCGCTCAATATTCTATAGAAACATCACGGACAGCTCAACGCGAAGGATCATAGAACATGATCAATTTCTTTTTTAGGTGGAAATATCGTGGTTCATTTTTTTCATGTACATGATTTACACTGATTTGAATATTGATTTCACTCCTTTTTTTACTAAATCAAACAAAAGGAATCAAAATGTAAGATCTAGTACTCAAAATAAATTAATATACTTCGGATGCAATTCATTAATTGAAATTTCAGGATAGCGCAGATTCAAAAGCAAAGTTCGCATTAAAAAATAGAATTTAATATATTTACTAAAATTTCAATGTATTAGAAAAGTTGATTAATTTTTTATTTTACATACATTAATTAATTTATCCTTTCTTGATAGGTAAAATTAAAATTAAATGATTTGATGACTTTGATAATTTTTAGTCGGGCATATATGGATCGTGGAACGATCCCCAGTCCCGAGTCGTGAAAAGTTTGATTTTGAATCGGAGTCTGTGGGTTTTCCCTATTTTTAGGAAGCCTTGTGGTTCGTTGAAAGACTTGGAGCAGTGGGGAAGGAGTGATGCGGCGAGAGAACTCTGTTGAGAGAATCAGCATTCAGTGTGGAAGTGAGATGTAAATTGGCTCTGTTGTGGCTGCCCTGAATTAAAATAATTTAAGGATTTACGTTTAGTAAGAAATAGCAAGTTGCCTGTTTTGGTACAGCAAAGAAAAAAAATCCATGAAAAATAAGAGGTGAACGCTCCGTTCCTGAGAAATCACCCTCCCAGTTACTGGCCGCGTTCGATTGATTTACTCGAAATCAGAAATTTCTAAAATCACTAAATTGGGCTTAAAACAAATTCTAATGTATTGAGGACAGTCAATATTACGCTTAGAATCAACTCGAGGTCGATTGGAGATGCATCTCGCATTTTTTGAATACTGTCAAGTGTGTGTGTGTGTGTGTGGCGAGAGTAATACCAAAACTACAACCAAATAACTTTCAGAACATTCCAATGACTTTCAGCCTCGATCGGCTTAAGATATATAGGCTTTGCTACATGAGGGCCTTTCATTGGAATTGAGATTCGAACACGCGACCAGACTAAAAGATGACCGACCACAAGCTGATGGCCATTACTTCTCGACTGCTTTATGATATAAGCATATATATATATAAGGGAAAGAGTTCATTAAGTATCCATCAAAAGCAGTAATATTATGCAACTCGTTCACCTTGAATAAATCTTCGCGTCAAGTTTGCATATTATTCAAATGTATAAGAACAAGAAACAAATTTTATTGCATACTCAAAAAAAATTCTGATAATTTTAATGTCGTAATAAACAGTCTGCTTCTATATTTCTACTCTATTAGGCTTTCATTTGGGGTCAGTTTCGAGTATGTGGTAGCATTGCATAAGCGGTTGAAAGGACTCTATATAAAGAAATTGACTCTATATAAAGATATATATTTCACAAAAGAAGATGGTGTGAAATACAGGTAGGTTTTATTGCACACTGAATCCCCAATATAGACTTCAAATCTCCTCTATTCGAGGAAGTGAGAGCTTAAAAACATTAACTCACAAGGGGAGGGCCTGACTAAGAACATTCATTTGGGGTCGAGACTTGATGTAATAGTAGTACTCCTTTAGGGTGTTCAATTCTTAATGTAATTCCACCAAATGGCCAGTCAATTCGGAGAAAATAGACTTCGAAATTCATGCTTAGCTTTTATACAATTAAGTTTTAATTATCTCCGGCGATTCATTGGCTTGGTTGGTAGAACGCCTGCTTTCTATACGGGAGGATAGGGTTCGAATCATGCGATCGGCTTTTTTTTCCCCAATTCATTTAATTATTTTTTAAAATTAAAATAAATTTATTTATGAAAGGTTTATTAAATATTAAATGATATTCTATGCAATTATTTTATATTTTACCGAGTAAAAAAAAATTACTGTAATTATATAAATATTTATATTATGGTTAAAAAATATATTTTTATATAAATAAAAATAATATTTATAATAAAATATATAATAAATATTAAATGATATTTTACACAAAAATTAGTTACAAATAGTTTTATAATGTGAAATACAATATACTATAAATAAAATATTATTTAAAAATAATTTATAAAATATATTTATAAATTAATATTTTGTATTATTAATAAAATAATATATATATATATTTGTAATTATATATAATAATAATAATATATATATATATATATATATATATTATTACTTTAATTATTTTATAATTGTATAAAAAATATTTAATAAGTCCTTTTAAATAAATTTATTTAAATAATTTTAATAATAAATTAATACTAATTTTAATAATAAATAATAGTTTTATAATAAATTACTTTTAATAATAAATTAATAATTTTTATTAATATTAACTAATTAATTTTAGTAAATAATGAATTAATAATTTTATTAATAATAATTTTAAATAACTTTATTAATAATAATTTTAAAAGATTTTAATAATAAATTTATTTAATTTTTTTTACTTTATAAAATACAAAATAATTACATAAAACATCATTTAATATTTAATAAACCTTTCATAAATAAGTTTGTTTAATTTTAAAAAATAATTAAATGAATTGAAATATATATATATAACGAGTTGATCGCGTGATTCGAACCCTATTCTCCCGCATAGAAAGCAGGCGTCCTACCAACCATGCCAATGAATCGCTGGAGACAATAAAAACTTAATTGTATAAAAGCTAAGCAGGAATTTCGAAGGCTATTATCTTCAAATTGACTGACCATTCGGCGGAATTACATTGAGGGTTGAACACCCTAAAGGAGTACTACTATTACACCAAATCTCGACCCCAAATGAATGTCCTTAGTCGTGCCCTCCCCTTGTCAGACTTCCTTTATCATGCGAAATTGGCTCAATATTTTTAAAAATCTGTTTCCTATTGCATAGTTCTTGCTCAAAACTTAAGAAATATTTTTTTTAAAAAAAAATGTTAATTAATCCAAAAAGAAAAATAGGGAAACAGATGGGAAAACGTTTGAAAACAATCTTAAAAAACAACTTGCTCAGTTGTATCTAACACGAAGGAGAGAAAAAAACTCACATCATATTTTTGTTTTTTGAATCGTGATCAAAAAACAAATTTGCCTTCGAGTTGATTGGAGTAAAATTTTTAAAAGCCGATCAATCCTCTATAATCCACCCATCTTGATTTAATTTTTTGTTAACGCCATACTCTGACGCAACTTGAGGACCTCGTAATTTTCAATCTCGGTCAAGCGAAGGGAACCTGAAGCACCTGAGTTGGTGCCTAATCTCCAATCTTCTACAGCACGACAAAGTGAGGTATTCGAGCCTCGACAGATTTAATATGCATCAAGTTTATTACACGACGGGTCTTCAGTAACGCCAGGAAATGTATCCGGGACTCGATAACTGCAGCTACGAGTGCATGACTATGACTACTTGGCTAATATGGTTACACTATCTAAAATTGATGAACGTAATTTTAATCTCGACGAATTTTTATTTATCTCCTCTCACATATGTTCTATCATATTTATCAAAATAAACGCATACACACAAGATAAATAAATAAATAAACTGCTTACTTTCTTCAGTTCCTACTGTTAGTTCACGATCTGATCTCCCTATATATATTTATTTATATACATATATATCTTGTTCACAAATTTTCAATCGTAAAAAAGTACTTTTTATTCTTCCACTCAAGTTCAAATACATTTTTTTAAACTTGTAGTGAATGACACTTGATGTTAAGGGGACATGGTACGATTTACACTAAAATTTTTAATTTAACGATTTTCAAAATTTTTTTGGTTTCCTCCTACGTGCGTATACTACGTAAAACAGATTTTATGCTCAAAATTTCATCAAAAACTAACCATTTAATTTTTTAAGGAAAAAACTTAAAAGTTGTGTGAAGTGATTTTTAAATGCTACTCCTCCCCTACAAAAACTTACGAACGTGCATGAAATTTGATTTACAAGTACATCAAACCACGTATGATAAAAGTTGGTTTGCGATAACATGATTGGTATTCGTACAATGATTGATTGAATATGGACGTCGCACTGTTCAGCTACACGAGGGCTTTTGGCGACGGACCACGTAATTTTGAACCATGGTCAAGTGACGTAGACGACACCTGAGCTGGCATCCCCCTCTCCTAACTACCACACCACACCAACGGGAGGACGTTTCAGCTCTCGACAGATTTAACGTGCATCGCTGCCCTACACGGCGGGTCTTTAGTGGTACTAGACTCGAACTCGTGACAAGGCAAGCCAAGATCCGATACCTATACCACTCGGCTACCGCGGCCACGTATTCGTACAATACTTATTTTTATGAATGCTTATTCAAAATTACTTACAAAAAGTTATAAATTCTGAGTTCAATTATTTTTAAAAAATTAAGTATTGCTATTTGATTCAAAAATGCATACCATCTTTTGTTACATGTACTTTTAGCAATAGGTAAAAAAAATTCAAAGTATTAGGCACAATAGAAAAAAAAACCTTAGCATTTTAAATGAAGAGAAACTAGTTATTTTATCTTTCTGAGATAAGTCCGATTAAAGTTTTGATTTGCCATTGGAATTTGAATAAAAACCAACATAAAAGCTATAATAATTCTGCGTTTTTTTAAGTTTAGAGCTTCCAAATTTTGTGAGGTTAAAGAAATGTATATAAAAAATAATTTAGGCTAAAAAAATTAGATTTGATTTTCTGACCGATTTTTGTCAATTGCATCGTACCGTGTCCTCTTAATACAGTTTTTTTCAAATATTAATTCATTATTTTTTAATTAATGAATAAATGGCAACAAATAAAAATAATAATCCAACTCCCTATATAAAAAGGAAAACCGCTCGTAGTGTCCCTGTAGCGCAATGGATCGCGTGTTGAACTGCTAATCCAAAGGTCGTGAGTTCAATTTCCACCTGGAATGGCCAATTTTCTAAGAATGTGCTTTCTTTTTACAATACTATTTTATTTGAATAATTAAATTTAATGAATGAATAAATAGTAGCAAAAAAAAAACATTAATAATAGTCCCCCCTGATTGAAAGGAAAATGGAAAAATGCAAGGAAAATCGCTTGCCATTTCGCCGCTTAATAAATTGATTCTGTCATATGGATATATATATTTATATTAATTATAATTATTTAATAAAAAATAACTAAATCAAATTTTTTCTTTGTTGACCTAAGTAGGAATGGATTTAAATAATTTTTTTATATGACTTGTCTCTACTATTTTAGTGATTAAAAAAATCTAGATTCTCTGCTCGATGAAAATAAATGTTTAAAAACATTTGTTAATATCGGAAAAGCAGAAATATTTCTTATTCTTCACTATTCGTGCGTGTTATATACATTGAAATAAATACAATATTTCAAATTTAAGAAGGCCAATAGAAAAATTGTACAAAATTACTCTCGTAACATTCTAGTCCCGAATTCAATATGGCCGATAAATGAAAGCCTAAAGTACTGCCATGAACAAAGAAATAAAAAAAAAATTAAAAAGAAAAATAACTGTCTACACACAAGTCACAGTCTATCTCTTTCTCTCTCTTTTTTTTTTTTTTTTTTTTCAAATCACCAATTTCCTTTGCAGATTTCGAGTCTGACGTAAATAATTGCTAATAATGAACGGATGGATCCTATTGTGCAAATGTCGCAGTTGTGCTTCCGCCTTTGGGTGTATGCCCCACGACATACAAATGTCTCGCCTTTTTTCTTTTTATCGTTTAAAAGAAGATTCACGGAAAACTAAGAGCCTTTCCTATCTGCTAGAATGAATTGACCAATCAAAATTATACTTGATATTGTATCATTTTTTTTAGATTTTTTGAAACTTTCATTTGAAAAAAGAGAAGAATCTACTACATACTATGAATATTTGTCATAATGACTTAATAGTATTAAGAGTACTCACACGTATTGTACCAGTTTCACCAAATCAAAAGACATCACCAAATGCTGTCATTGCGAATAATTTCAGCCAAAATTTATTCTATAGAGACGCCTGTTATTCTTTTAATCACTCAAATAATAGAAAAGATCTCCAGATTAAAATATACAAAATACATATTAAGTTCAATCAGCATCGATTACACATTACAATTCTTTTTCTCCAACTGAAAAACATGTTTAGAATAATTACAAGAGATGCCAACTTAAGCAACGCAACTTTAACGACAGACGATTATATATCAACAAATAAATTAAGTAAAGGTATAAAATTAGAGTTACATGAACTAAGCAAACGATAATCATGTGAAAGAGAATTTTCATCTTAAACAATATCTATAACTACTGTATAATTTAAAATAAGATTAAAAATTGCTTCAAAATAAAGAAAAGGAACTAAATATTTTACTAATTTATATAGAATATTTACTATATAATATATATATGACGATAGTAATATTGAAGAGAACTTTTCATCAAAAATATCGATAACTACTTTTAATTTAGATAGTTAAAAATTGGTTCAAAATAAAGAAGATTTAAATGGAAAATATTTTACAATACGAAACAGTGTCAATAAATATATGCGTGAACGAGATTATTGTGTTTGTTTTTGACTTTTGGTTGCATACAGATGCATTTGGCGACGTCCTTTCATTTAACGAATTGTTTGACGGTATAATATGCAAGAACCGAATTAAAAAATATTTATTTCTTATTTAATAAAATTTTTAGAGAGATATGCGGTAGCAAAGATTATATATATATATATATATATATATATATATATATATATATATATATATATATATATATATATCACTGAACAATTTATAATCAGATGAACAATTAACATTAAAAAATCAAATGCAACTTAAAAAATGCAAATTTTTCAACTTAATTTTATTTTTAATTCTTCCAACAGAATATAAAATCATTCATAAAAATATTTTCTATATGTAAACATTGTTGATACAGAAGTTATTTCACATTATCAGTGTTTAAGTTAATTGTTACTTTCAAGGAAATACTTTTCGGTGTATTAAAGGCTTGATCTTTTTATCATGGCATAAAACTTTCAAATATCTCATAAAATGGTTAGTTGTACGCGTCTTTCAGAAAGTTTTTTGAATCTACATCATACTGAAGCAGCACGACTGATATTGGTAATAGGTCCTTTCTCAATTTCCCAATTTTTAGGTCACACCACTTAAGGACTTTAGGGTTTAGTTCCCTTTAACGTGCAGCTGCTCACACTACGCGTCAAGTGGAATGAAGATTCGAACAAGGGAATCGACATGAGTATCACTGGACACGATACTCGTACCTAACTGGTATTGTGGTAGCGTCAAAAATGGTGATATTTAGTCCATTTCAAGAGAAGAAACTAAAATACGTGAAACTTTTTAGAATGTTTTCGTATTTCTCAGTCAGATGTATTTAAGTATTAATATTTAAAGAAGATTACGAGAGAGAAAGATAGAAAGAGATTATTTCCCATATCCCAATCATGTGGTAATGAATAAGGATATATTACAAACTTTTAGGAAAAATTCTGAAGTTCATTGAAAAAAAATATATTCTATTACTTTCGATTTCAGCGAAAAATTTTCTTTCCTGCAAAAGCTGTCAATCACCAGAAGACTGCCGATGAAGGAGGAAGTTTGAATTTTATTAAGCTTTAGTTTCTGATGAAATTACAAGAAAATTTGAACAACGGCACTACAATAAATCTAAATTAAATTTAATTAATGTCTCTGAAAGGAACCAGTTTTCACAGTCAAGAGAATACAACATGCTGAAAGCTATAGATCAGTTATGCGCCGTCTCAAAAGAGACATTTTAGTATTGTTTCCGACAATGGCAGAATCGTTAGAAGAAGGGAACTTGTTTGTTATTGGTAAACTATCCACCAAAGGCTTATTTGGCGCCAAATAGTTGTAAGATTTTGTCAAGTTGGAACGATAGCATTAGAATACGATAACATTAAATTGGCCGCCAAAGATCTACTTGGCGCGATTTCAAAAACACCAAAAGTGAATAGCGTATCTATATCAAATTCAGTTGGGAAGAAGTGCACGCCAGAGCCTCAGGGGAATGGGGTCTAAGAAGATTAGATGTGGTTTTATCTGAATAAGAATATAAAGAATATCTTGTGAGCACTCCTTGTATTATCTTTTACTACTAAAGAAAAATCATTTGCCTTTAACAGTGAGATAATAAAAATTATACGGCATACTTAAATTTTTATCATTTAATGTGGGGTATAACTTTTAGGAAATAAATTGTTTATTATCGTTATAAACACTTTCAGTGTTAAAATCTCCTCGAAGAAACATATGGCGAGCCTGTTATATACACTGCTGGACAATTGCTAAGGACGGATCACAAATTGCTATGTAGCATAACATTAAGCGAGACATGAGGCCTAGTAGGATAAAATATAGTTGCCACACTGTTCAGACATTAGAATAAAGAATATTTATTGTTCTGGAAAGTACAAAAGCTGTGAAACATCTGAAAGAAAAAAAATGTTCATTTGATCTGCGTACGGAGAAATGGAACAATGCATCTAAAAGTCAGCAGGCACCTTAAAGAAAGGTATCAGTACGGGATATGTCCACCGTGGAGTGTGATGCAACATTCCACACGTCGTACCATACTTTGCACAACATTATCCAGCAGCTGTTGAGGCAATTTATCCCATTCCTCTGTGAGTGCACGGATGAGGGTGTTCTTGTTTGTCGGAGGATAGTTTCGACCAGCCACTTGCCTCCCCAAAGCATCCCACACATTTTCAATGGGGTTTAGATCTGGAGAACGCGCTGGCCATACGAGACGTTGAATACCCTCGCTGTCTAGACAATCCTGAACAGCGAGTGTTCGATGACATGTTGCATTGTCGTCCATAAAAACAAATTTATCACCGACAGCACCACGGAAAAGACGAACATGAGGAAGTAGAACTTCATCAATGTATCGTTGGCCCGTCATAGTCCCATTCGCAACCACATGTAGGCGCGTGCGGCCATTGATCCTGATGCCGGCCCACACCATGATACTGCATGTCGGATATCGGTCCTTTTCCTGGATATTTTCTGGACGATAAGCAGTACCACTCGCGCCAGATCAGTTGGCGTCTACAATCCGATGACAGACTGAACCTACTCTCATCTGAGAATAGTACGCATGCCCAGTCCTGTTCAGTCCAATTGTGATGCTCACGACACCATTGCAAACGGGCAGTACGGTGCTGTCTGGTCAATGGGACACACACAACAGGTCTTCGTGCGTATAGTCCTCCTCCCCTCAAACGTCTGGCAACAGTTTTTCGGGAGATCTGCTTTCCTGAGGCAGCAAGAAACTGATTTGCCACCTGTGGTGCGCCTGTTCCTTTTTGCTGATATAGGACGATATATCTGTCTTCTGCAGGCGTCGTACTTCTAACACGACCTCCCCCGTGCCGTCTACTACACATTCCAGTAGTTTTAAATGACTTCCACAGCCGTGAAACAACGCTGTGAGCGATGTCGAACTCCCTGGCAACATCTGTTATTTTTCGCCCTTCTTCGATCTTTCCAATAATTCGGCCACACATAAAATCATCTATGTGATGTCGGGAAGACATGCCAAAAATTTTAAGTTCGTTTATTAAATCTTTCCTGTAAAACTTTGACTTGAAACAACAACTGTCCACACGCGTCAAAACCTTTAAAGCTCTTATAAACGCTATCACGTGATGAACAGACGTGGAAAAAAATTTGCATACTCATACTTCTTCTTACTAATATCCCGCACTTATTCTAATTTTCCACATTTTGCTTCCTTTCATTTTGTGGTTGCTATGGATGATAGTGTTATCCGTCCTTAGCAATTGTCCAGCAGTGTATTATAAAGCATATTTATGCCGTTGTATTCCAAACCAACCCTTTGTTGAAAGATGCCTAAGAAAAAATTCTTCAGAAACTACGA